TGGGATTTCCATCGATATACTCCAGTATCCTCCGACTGGAAGCCAAAGAGTCATGTGTTACGAAGAAGGGTCATTGCCCAATACATTGCCGATTATATATTTTTTTTATTTTAAGGCAGTGGCAGTATTATTGACGAATGTGTAGAACCTAAAATAGATTTCGCCAAAACATCCAAATTCAGTAACCTCCCGATAACAAAGTCTTGAGTGAGGTTTCAGCGAGTCTTGTCTGGGTAAATAATTGGCACTGGAATCGTTATTTTTGTAGTTGTAAATCATATCTGACATATCTGATGAAAATGTATTGAAGCTACTCTCTAATAATTCAGCAAAATATTTAAGGGAGAACCATCCTGAGCATCGCTATTCTATTGACACTCAGAACTGGCTTACCGGATGAAAAACAATGACATAATGGTGAAATAAATTTGCGTTGTCCTTATATCTATGGCACTGCATTAAAAGGAATGGTAAAAAAAAGAAACAAATTTACGCACAAAGTAGTTGAGTGATATCTGAGAAAAAGAGAAAATCATTCCGGTGGCCTAAGGTGACATTATGTCAAGAGCAGGTTTCGTCAAAAAGTTTGATGAGAAGCTGTGAAGCGGACCATTTGTAAAGAGGGAGAATGGGAAAAAGGACATATTTCACAGGGTGCTGTATCCATAGGATTCTTAAAAAATCAAATGGCAGGACCATGCGTCAAACGAGAGACTCTATAATAGAACGGCAAAGACATCACTTTGTGTAATATTTCAGGGAGAGTGACTCCTCTGCGCTGGCTGTGTGCACACAACGCTGGCTACGAGAGTCCTCAAGGTCGTGTCAGCCGGCAAATCAGAGCGGAAACTGGGCACCTGGGAGTAAAGTGTAAAGGTGCTGCCCGGCAATTACTGGCTTGCTTGCACCACCGCTGGTGGAGACGCCTCCACGAGAGAGAGAGAGAGAGAGCTCTAGAGAAGTCCCTCTAGAGAAGGGGTCGGCAACGTGCAGCTCTGGAGCCGCATGCGGCTCTTTAAGGACTCATTTTGTGACGTTATATGTCAAGGACTTCCGTCTCGTATTCACACGCATAGCGGCTCTTGAAATATTAAGCTTTTTTCCGAATTAGAAAAAAATGGCACTCGAGGGTAATTTAACTTCATTTGGCTTACTGGCCAGACGCTTTGAAAGAGGTGAGAATACCCACAATTTACCCCATCACTGTGGTGCTGGGTGGACAGATGCGGGGGGAGCGGGGGGGATTTAATAGAGTTGACCAATGTTTAAACTGCCGCGCCAGGAGATAAAGTTGCGCGGGCGACCCCTGTATTACAAGTCCAGTGCGATAACCATTACACTACGCTAGAATATAGTGCAGGAGCAGATAAAGAATTTGTAGCATCTCTTACCGTGTGCAAAATTGTCAGGGCTATATTTCTCACGGAACATATTACCGGGTTGTTGGTAGTCTGGAATAGGTGACACGTGACTTGTAGCCACAGCCAGAGCGACAGGAATACAGAACATGGTGTGCCGAGTACAGAAAGTATTTCCCAGGTCGCCAACCCACGTACCGCCTGGCTTGAAATGAAGTCTCGATAATAATACATTCAAATACAAACTTATTCACCACGGTGTCAATAAAGCTTCCGTTTGAACTTCACGCGTAAATTGTAATGTTTTCTACTCTGTCATTTACCTCCGGCTGGTTGGCACTGGTAGCGAGCGGCTTACAATCAAAAGGATGTGAGATCAATTTACAGTTTTCGAACTAAACAAAACTTTTTATTTGGCCTGGTAAGGCCCACTGAGCTATATAACTCTTTTTCAGAAGCAACCTGGCCACAAATGATAGCTCAACGAAGTGGCTTATCACGTGCAAATTTATAGCAGCCAAATACTCTGGCAGATGACTCATTAATTCCTCTCGGGTTACATGAAATGAGGACAACTTTGTGTATAGGTCAAGATTCATTGTTCTATGGATAGACTCACTCAAGCCATAGGAATGTGGAATTCGACCAATGGTTCAGGGCTGTAAGTAGGAAATTAGTGTTTACCCCAGCATCGATTGAGAAACCCTTTGGACTTTTTTTCGTGTAACTGTCTTGCCTTGCATAAATTCTTGAGCATTACGTGTAATTTCAAATGTAATTTTAATACTAAAGTTATCAAAGTGAATAAGGGTGTGGCTTTTTTAACCAGTGACCTTCATATTCTTGAACGCTTGCGACCTCATAAAACTTGCAGATGACGATGCTTGGCCTATGCAGAGGAGTTGATTAATCTGCTCACGGTGTTTTTGCCACTTGAATTATTGAGGTATTGCAGAAAATAAAAAAAAAACTCATTTATGAGATCGCATTGCTGTAAGGCAGGGTAAATAATTGAATTTCAATAAAAAAAAACATATTACGTAACGGTAAGCTGACAGAAACAACATAATTAAACACTCTCAAATGAATACAGTATATGGAATAGGTGATAAAGGAACACGATGGTAGTAAGTTTCAATAAACATACACAATTAAAATAACTGCTGGGAGCAATGTAGTCAGTATCAATCTTGTTCACGGGTAAAGGTGTTCCAGATTATGGGAGAACAGAGCATGTAACAGATTTAATCTATATATCTTGAGCCTTTCCTGAAGGCTCAAGAAATATAGATTAAATGCTGGAAAGAAGGTGTCACCGCGCCATGCTGATCATCGGGGGTATATTTAACCATACTTCACCGTTGCTGGTCAGTGGAGGTTGGCGATGTGGGGGTGGGGTGGTGGGGGATCCAGAATAGTTTCAGACATCACGCGTCACTGATATTGGTCGTGTCCAGGAATCTAACACGGGTTGCCAGGTTTATGGCGCAGTGTGTGCAGCACTGCGCAATTGTTCACCCTCAGATATACGTGAGGGTTAGGGTATATTTTAAAATACATTTTGGGCGAGGATGATAAAAAAAAAATTCACAGCGTATTAAGAGTTATGAATTTGCACCAATGCAGCACATGTTACATTTGAATTTGCACTCTTGTTGCAAATACTAATAATAATAATCATATAAATTATAATAAATCAATGTATTTGATTTTCACCCTATTCTTACTGCAGACTTTGTAGTCTTCCAGTCAGGTGCAATGCAAATTTGCTCGATAGTTTTACCTAATTCAGCAAAGTAATCTGCAAGTACATTTTCACAAATGGCAAATGTGGACCGCGACGCCAGCACCACACATTGATTCTTCTTAATTCTTCTTAATTTTTCTTCGATTTAAAGCTTTCGTGACTGCAATGATTCATCTTCTTTGGTTCTTTCAGTAAAGTCACGTAGAATGATAATTATTGTGTTATTTTATTTTATCAATTTATTATTTTATTATCATTCTACGTGACTTTACCGAAAGAACCAAAGAAGATTAATTTTTCTTCTTAATTCTTCTTTTCAAATTCTTCTTATTCTTATTTTTTATTCGTTATTTTTATTCTTTATTATTGTTATTTATTCTTCTTCTTTCTTCTTATTTTTATTTGTATTCTTCCTGAAAAACATCGCTGTGAAAGCGGAAGGTGCACATTCATGGTTAGTGCACCCCCGCCGTATTCAAACCATGTCAGCAAGCGGCAAAAACGCGCTACCGCTCAGCCGTGTGACCAGGAGAATCGTGAAGGTCTCAAGTTGTACCGTGAGGTTAAAGCCATGCGTGTTATTACTACCTCCAGCCAGACGCTGATGCAGGCATTGCAGCGTTCCCGTTTGAGTTGTTAATTATTGTTGAACGTGGATGGCCTTTCGTTTATAAGGTAATGACCAACGCCGTAAAATATAAATGCTTAGCCGTCAACTGGCTTGAAATATGTTTTGTATGAGATTCCACTTCCCGTCGAAATTATTAACGCGTTAGTAGTTAAGTTAATATTAAACTTAATTTTGCGTGAGAGACAGCTGGTCAGCGATGTCGCTATATATGTGTTTCCAAAAAGTTATAGGCTCAGCAGAACGTTTTGACGGTTGCTAAAATAAAAATGAAAAACAATTAAGTTCCCACCATTGAAGAAAACCTTGCAAGAAAATAAACGCTCTCCTGTATGTCCCGCTTCAGATACATCACGTGGCAATGGAATGAATATTTGTTAATAATTCTCGTAGCTGCAGTCATTAGTCACCAGGCAGAGGAACACTAATTACACTTGAGACATCTGGCTGAATCAGAGGTGGATGCCCGGATTCAAAATGCAGGCTTTCAGCGGTGCAAGTGCTCTCAATGACCTCATCATCTCATATATTATCTTATAATGCAGCGTTAATGAGTGCCTATCACCCAATGCACATCAGACTTTAGAGGCTAAGCGGGATTAATCCTGGACACTGCTTGCATTTGGCAATAAGCATGCATAAACCAGGTGTCGTAAGCAGTGCCGAATTAAGCTTGTGTGGGGCTTGTAGCATATGTTATAAAGGGGCCATAAATAAATAAACACACGTAAATATAAGAACACAAATTATTTTACTCGCATAGTAAAGTTATTGTATTTTTTTCATTTGCTATACAGCCAGATAATACGACAAATCGCTAACTTTAAACACCCAGTCGTTCATAAAAGTTGAAGGCGGTATAGTACTACAGTGATAGAGCAAGTGCAGAGTCACTGAACCGTAATTGATAGCTTGAAAGCGTTTCGTGCGGGGCCCTTGAAAGTGCGGGGCCCGTAGCATTTGTAGCTAATTTTGCTACTGGGATAATCCGGTACTGGTCGTAGGCATTGTGGGCAGTAGAAGGCAGTGCAGCAAATGCATTGTTGTTGTTGCGTACTTCCGAGACTTTCACCAACGCGCACCGACCAGCGTGGTGAAGCGTGCTCAAAGTAACCCGGAGGGAGGCCTCTCGTCCAGCACTAAATTGACAAGCGGGCTGTACGTGTGCACGCGTGGATCACTGTGTGATGCTGAGAAGTATTCGATCTGTCTTCTTAGACCGTGGCCAGTGGCTGTCAGATACGACGACGACGATGACAACAGGGTGCATAAATTGTGGCCAAAAATTGCCAAAAGTCTTTATTTTAGCAAAAAGATGCAGACAGAAACAAAAGCATGTGCATATTTTTTTCTTCCAAAAATAGGTACTGCCCAGATACACTGAAAATATCGCGGCCTGACAACAGTACTTTTCTAAATTCGTATCAAAACGTGTCTGCAATAAATACAAATGATCGTTGTTTGTAGTTGAACACTGAACCCCAGCAAGACGTCATTCATTATATCTGACAAGGGAAATGACCCGTACACAACAGCATCGTTACACGTGAATAAGAACTCGTTTTCTTTCTTTCTTGCAAATTCACCTCAACAACTTCTTAAAATAAAAAAGGTATATATATATTTTTTTATAGCAGTGGTTCTCCAGTCCTTACAGGGACCTCGAAGGCCCATCGCTTTACATTGACCAACCTTCGCATGTCCTCTACTCCTTGGTTCTTTCGGTAGAGTCACGGAGGTAGAAATGACCTGACGGCTCGTCGGGACACTCTTGTCTGCAGGAAAGCCACCCACACAGATTTCTACCTACGTGACCTTACCGAAAGAACCAAAGAGTATGGATTCCTGCAGTCACGAAAGCTTCAAATCAAGACTTCGCATGTCTCTCAGTCTTTTTCTCAACGCTAGTACCAACCGTGACATATTATATGCAATGTGCACTGCATGCAACTGTAATTCAATATTTATATGCATATGGAAAAAACAATCTCAATTGCACAGGAGACAGTTTGAATGAACCAAAGAGGATAAACACTGCTTATAAATATCACCACACTGAGAACAAATTTGACCGTGCACACCCATTCCATGTAACGTGCGGTGACGTTGGATGCCCGAGAACAGCTTGCAAACCACTCGATTGCTCCAGGTAAGTGCGTGTCATGGTCTATAACCAATGTGTTTCAAGCAAACTGCATTCCCTCAAAACTAACGAGCAGAGAAGCTGCCACCCCCCACACCCAGCGACACGGAGACATTGTAGTCGGCTGGCATTGAGTGGCACGCAGAGTCAACTCTAAAACGGGGTATTCGTTTGGCTGTCGTGTGAGGAGGGCTGGTCTAAAAGAAACTGTTTAGGATGGAATATTAAAAGAACCCTCGCTCAGAGTCATTACACACAGACACCTCTGCCATCTGTGCGATGAATGCGTGATCGTTCGACGGACGGGACGCTAAGATTCGATGAAATATGCGCATTAATTCAGTTATCTTGCGAGTGCGTTTTTGGCCACCCGCTCGCGTGTCGTAAAAAAACAGTCCATCGCGTAAGTTCAATGCCATCGCGCCCCTCGAATACTTTTCAAGAAACACGTTGACGCTCGCATGCATCTACAAACGAGAGGGCGGGTGAGCAGACGAGGGGCTCAGGGCCAGGGCTGCGATGGAAGTCGCCCGCGGAGGGAGGGTGAAAAAAAAAGCAGCCAAAGACCGCGGTGAGAAAGACTTGCGGAGGGGTTTGTGCTAACGGGCATCGAGCCATCGGCACGGGGCTCTGCTGTTGCGATTCCACGACCAACGGTAAGCTGGGCTCGGTGGCCCAGGAATGACGCACGGATGGCCCAGGATCGACAGTGAGACAGATTCGGTACGTGCCGCCGACCCTTCTTGGGCTTACGAGCCTCAGTGGGGTTGACCCCTTCCTGCTGCTCACCTTCCCCCCGCTGCCTATCCTCTGTAGTGACATGCAGGTCACTTCTGAAAATGGAGCTACTGGGTCCACTTACTGAGCCCGCTGAGTGTTGGGTCGGCCCCGGTTAACGCTGTTTGTGGGGACTTGGGCTTGGGCGGGCCAACAATTTTCCATGTTCACGAAATATGGAGTTGGCTTCGCCTCCCCAGTGGCCGTGGGAAAAAAAGCGGCGTTAGCCTCAACGAGTGGCCTAGTTGGTCGGTTCGCGTGTCCCCCCCCTCCCCTCTTCCCCGTGTTTTAATACGAACGGTGCATGGTGGACGCAAGCGCCAGCCGGACGAGTGGCCGGCGAGTTTGGGCTCGCGCCCGCTTCGTCGCGCGTCGAGAGGACTCGGAAGGGTCGTTTTGTTGTGGTGGAGGCTTTCGAGCGGACTTTCGTGAAAATGCACCGCGGCTGTGGTTAACGGGAATCGTGTTTTGTTAAAGAGCTCTACACTTGTTTCTTTCTATAATTGCTTATTGCTCGGCAGATTATATATTTTTTATTTGGTAAAAATGCGTACGTCTACGTGTTATTTTGTCGTAACTACATATTTGCTTACGTATCTAATATAACAATTCACTTAGAAGGAAATAGGTACAATAGTAATTGAAAACCTCTCTATCTGTTTAGTATTTTTTTTGCTTATTTTTCAGTTAAAGCCCTTCTCCGTAATAATCCTCAAGCAAACCATGACCTAATTGGTACTTTCAGGCACACTATTTTTGTTTATCGATAATAGACCGCACGGTTAACAAAACTATACGCATCTTCCTCTTTTACATTCATACGAAATGTCACGGGATCTCATGGAAAGGTTGGAAAATTCAACGGAAGCGTAATGCAAAAAGCTTTTTTAAGCAACGCGTGCAAAATCCCAACTGCATCGCGACGAACGCTTTGAGCAGAAGTCTTTGCACAGGTTACAGTATCCAACAATTGATGTTTGTGCATGGGAATAACTGGCTAAATAAAGTGGGAAATGATTGTCGGAAGAACTGAGTAGAAATCGATCCCTGGATGAATGACCATCCGCTTTCTCGCGTTCATCACAATTTTGCAGGAGCTGCAATCACATCAAACGAGTCCTTTGTTACGTCTTTAAAAAAAAACCGTCGACTTGTTACGCGGCGTTTTTGCGATTTTGTCAATTTCCAAAACAATATAAGTCAACGGAGTACGATGTTAATTGCATAAATTGCCGTAATTAAACAAGCAAGAGCACTAGCTCAGGCGCCGCGACAGGAGTGCGAGAAGAACAGCGGTGAGATCCACTCCTGAATTGCGGGGGCACACGGAAACTCCACTTGAGGTTGTCCACATTTTGCGTAAAGTGTGAAGGTGGTTGATTAATCGCACTGTGGAGGAGATGAACGAGCCGAGGAATGAAACGCGTCCGATAGCACGTCGACGTCCAGCAGATGGAGCGACTGAATCAGTTCAGGTGGGAGGTGGATTCTGTTATGTCGCGGGATAATGAGACGTGGCGTCGACTTGGGGAGGCCTTCGTTAACCAAAGCTGATGATGGATGATGATGATGATGGATGATGTTGGAGGGTGATGTAACATAATGTAGCAAGCACTCGGGCTTGCAGCAGTGCCCGGTTCCGGCTCAAACGCCGCAGCGCTTTCAGTTTGGTCGTTCGGTGGAAGGACGTTGCGGCCGCATCCCGATTGTGCGTTGAAATGTCGGCACGTGGTCGTGTGACACGTGGTCGTGTGACACTGCAAATCTGGAGTGGAGTCCGGTGTCTCCTTAAACTGGAGTCGGCGTGGGCTGTGCTTCGACTGGAAGGAAAAATGTGATTGCCCGCTTCCTGTAAAACGTCTGCACTTAAACAAAGGTTGTGATTTACTTGGGCCTCTGACAGTGTGCTCTCATGCTCCTGGCTTTTATCTGGCTGGATTTTAGCACATCTGGTACAACGGATACAAATGGATCCTAAAATAAAATTAAAATTGATCAACTTTCCAACCATCTGCATGACTTACACACACTTGATCTGTACCATCCACCAAAGTGGCATTGTAAACCAAAAACAAACCCCTTCGAGGTTAGGAGATTGAAATACGTTTCTTTTCATTCAACAGTGTGTTTAAGTAAACAATACTAATACCAAAAACCGTTATTCGATGCACATTGCTACAATTGTGCAAATGTACACGAACTGTCTCTGGATTCGAATGCCTTGTTTTGAGATGGGCCTAACAACGCCAGTGGCATCGCGATGCCAAATTCAGAGGCGCACCCTACATGTCCAACTTTCACACACACACACACCGTTTCACATTCGTTGAATCATTTGAGTAAATTCCATAAAATTGATTTCACGTCCGTAAGTCGAGACAAAAAAACACCCCCATTAACCGTATTGTTGTACTTGCGGTTAAACAATTCTGTCTTTATTTTTGTATGTTTTTTTAAATATCATATATATTTTTTTTAAACCCTCAGAAGCGTATCATCTAGTTTACAAAGCCCTTTTACTGTGTCCCCTGTCTCAGGAAACAAATCAGGGTGAGGTTCTCTCCCCGCCCCGTATTAAGAATTAAATAACCATCGGGCGAGGGGGGGGGGAAATGGCAATTGGGCAAATGGCTGATAAATAAAGCCGAGGAAAGCCCGACATGTCGTGCCTCATCCATCGCACGGGTCTTCTCCCTCTCCCGACTGCCAACTCTGGCTGATTGGAGGAGCGCTTGCCTATTGCGAGCTCGGCAGCTGATGGCGTTGGCATTCAGTCTCCATTAGGGATTTCACTGCGGCAGAGAGGGAGCCCATTAGCCTAAATCTGTGAACCTCGTCAATCCCGCTTTTGGCACTTCCGAACAGAAAATGCTGCTGCCCTTCTCGGTAAAAAAGCGACGTGACGGCGATGTTCGTTTTGGTGACTCAGTCTAAAAGCTGGAGCGGTGTTTCTAATGCGTAGTCCTTTGCATTTCGCATGACATTTGCAGCATACCAAGAAAAAAAATAACATGCTTTAAAAAAACCCCATATTGTTTTCATCGTTCTTCTTTTTTTTTGCAAGTGGTGCTTTTGAACATGACTAATGGCCACGTGTCAACCAGGCCCAAAAATGTACAGTAATAGTTCTTCACGCATTACGCTTCAGACAGCACTTACAGCTTCTCTCTCTCTTTAAATCGAGCTGGTGGAAGCGAGATGCTGAGTCGAGCCGCCGAGGCTGTGGGTCATCCCAGAAGGTCACGGGGTCATCAGCTGATGCCACCACATCCAGGTCGGAGGTCATCGGCAGCAGCCGGCAGGAGCGGGGGGGGGTATATTACCTGGGGGGGACTTGTGGGGGGCACGACCTCTCCCGTGGAGGCTTCTGGGATACACACTTGTCTCGTCAATAAACATCTCGCCGTCAGATCCGTATGTGGAATGTGCTGTTGAAAACAAACATGTCACAGATATTATACCACCGCATAGGATTTTTTTGCAGTTGTGCTGTACAGCTCTCCAATGTGTTTTCGGGTCCGACGTTGTGCACCGCGTGCTGCGAGCTTCCTTAGCACATGTCCCGAAACTTCAGACATCATGCCGAACAACAGGCGGTACAACGCGAAAATACGTCAGAGAGCAACGTAAAATGAATTAAGCAAAGGAGCACATCGAGCTGGTGTTTATAATATGCATGGGATACATTTTCCAACAGCACCACGCGTAAGGAGGCATGGCATGCTCTAGACCAGCGGTCCCCAACCTTTTTGGCACCAGGGACCGGTTTCGTGGAAGACAATTTTTTCATGGACCGGGGGGGGGGGTTCATCATTGGGTCTTTCCCCCTATTCAAAGAAGCTCGCCAGCGACGTTTGCTTTTTACTCATTTTGGCCAGGGGTTAGCTTGTGGGCCTACCAGCACTGTGACTGAGACAAGTGCGCAGTGCGGGAAAGAGGCGCGGACGGAAGTGGTAAATAAAATAACGGGCGGGCCACGCGCGGACTCACCGCTCACCTCCTCCTGCTGTGCGGCCCGGTTCCCAACAGGCCACGGACCGTTACCGTTACCGGTCCGTGGCCCGGGGGTTGGGGACCCCTGCTATAGACGACTCGTGATATCGAGTGTGGGATTCGACACTGCGAGGTGGGAAGATATTTATGACTTTTGCTTTCTCCGTGGCTGTACTGTCACTCACATGGAAATTCGATTAATTCAAAAGGAAGTGTGTTAGTGACTAGACTCTTGGCAAGTTGATACCGCGCGCATTTGAAAATAACTTCTTTGCAAGCGCGGCGCGCGCGCCCGCAACAAAATGGCTCACATGAATACTTTCATGGGAGTGATCTAAATAAGAAATGAGGCGACATCCTACGTGGGTGTTTTTGAACCACAGCTGAGCGGATTTCTCTGCGGACGCGGCGCGGCTCGGCATATCACGCATCGTTTGTCGACATCGGAGGCAGGCGTTAACACGCTTTATGAATTTAATCAGCAGCCGTAATTTAATCAGCCCCTTAATTTATTCAAAAGCTACTCGCATAGCCTGATATCTAGCACGACACGAGAAGCAAACTGTTACAGTGCGCAATTCATTTAAGTGGTGAAGAAATCTTCGTAAATACGCGCAGCAGCTAATGAGTAAGAGCTGTCCCTAAAGTTGATGTCATTTTTTTATTCCCTCAATCACAGCTTAATGACAATTGATATATCCTTCAAGAATATATATTTTATTATGTTTCATGTGGGTGCGTAACTGTGTTTCTGCAATTAAGTGTTGTTGAAATATTTTATAACAAAAATCCCTATGTGTGTATATGTTTGTATGCGGAGTGGTAGTGTAGCGGTTAGTGCACTGCGCTACCAACACGGCGACTCAAGTTCGATTTCTGCTCAAGACCAATACCAGTGATGATTATCTGAACCTGTCCTGGGCCTCCCCTAGGTCAACTCAGCCTCAAATGAGTACCTGGTGCGGTGTGTAAACATCGCCACTAGGGGATAAAGGCGGCCGGGCGTGGTGCTGGTCACCGACCCCCTCGTGTACCGTTCCAGCCTTCATAGGTGCTCGCGAACAGCACTTGCCCCAACATCCTGCTACGGCTATACGGGGACATTTGTTGTTGCTCCCGTGTTCAGTGAGTCAACCTCCAGTTTGCGGGTCTACTGCCAGTGATCTGCTATCGTGGCAAGTGAATATTCACGATTATGCGATATAATTGTATAGCTCATCGTACAGAGCATTCACGTAATTATATGACATTAGAGTTGTATCCAGACACCTTTCATTACTGTTCAGGTGGAATACAGAAATAAATCACGCAATGGTCCAACCAGACCCATTTAAGTCGGAGAACCGCTTCCAAAGCCTCGAGTGTCAGCGAAGAGCTCGGCCATTTAGATTTCTGTTAAGAGATCCATATTTCTTGCGAGCCATTCTAAAGCCTTTGAGAAATAGTGCATGAGAACCTCAGGTTTTCTTCCCCCATAACCCCTTTTCCCTGGGGACCTGACCCCTTGAACTCTGCTCTCCCTCCTCCCTCCCCTCTCCATCCCCCCTTGTCACTGACCTGATGAAGTCTGGTGCGCGGGAGATCATGTGCTCGAAGTCGGCGAATGACAGCTTGCTGTCATCGTCCAGGTCGGCCTCCTCAAGCACCTTGTCGATGACCAGCAGCAGCTCCTCGTGGCTCATCTCGTCACGCGTCAAACACTGCAGCACCTGCAGCAGGTCCCCTCGGCCGATGAAGCTGTCGTCGTTGAAGTCTTGTCGGCGGACGAATAGAGAAATGAATTCAGTTCCAGTGTTTTTTTTGTGCACAAACAGATGTAGCGCCAGCAGATAGGCGGTGATCAACACGATGGGCGCCACCCCACCGGGCAAACGCGAGCCGCGGCGCCCTCCGGTCAGCCGTCGACCCTCGGCTTCTTTGCCAAGGCGAGCCCCGCCGCCGCCCCCCAGGGCAGTGAATTTAACGTGTTTATGTGATTTTTCAACTTTTTACGAAACTTAGTGCCCCGAGTAGCTCTCGACGAGGCCAATCGATTGACCACTAGTTTTGTTGTCGGTAAGGCAAGACTCGTGTCGCGGTTTTTCTCACCCCGGGGCAGTGACGGGACCCCGGGGTCCCGCCAATTGCTTCAATTATCCCAAATTCAGGACCTTCCTGATAAAACCGTCTTGAGACTCAATGAGGCATTCCTGTGTAATGGACGTAACTATTGTTATTATTTAATCGCTAGCTTCTTTGCCCGTCTTAGGATGGGAGCTGTAATATTCACGAAACGAATTGAGCAGAGTAGAATTGTATCTTGTGTAAATTTAATGGCAGTGAATCTTGCACGAAACTATGTCATCAAACACTTCACTTCATGTCACTGTAGCACTGTATATAACTGACCTTCAATTTGTTCAAATTCACTGCTCTGATACTTTATTCTCTTCTGCTTTCGGTCGCTGGGGTTGAAATAAATTGGAAATCGATACAATATCTGAAAAATCACCGATAAATGTCTATTTTACCATAATGTGGAAGCATAAATTAGACTTACCTTTTGTCTCAAGTGCTGAAGAAATAAATAAAGACACCAAATCTACTTTGTTGCTGCGTAGAATTATTTATTAGATTCACTTTCAATAAAGAACCGTCAAACTTAAAGCGAATTCGCGAGAAAAAAAAGTCTTCCGCTCGATCTTCTTCTGCGTGAGTGTAAAAATCCACCCGCTCATGAATATTAATGACGGGGGGGGGGGTGAAGCATGTGGAGTGACGTCACGCACGGGACACACAAACAGACATTCTTGGCTCATTACATTAGTAATAATTACATGACAAAGGACAGTTTTTTTTTCCTGTTGTACAATGAGTGTTGCTGTCATGCAAACGTGTTCATCATTTCATCAGACCTGTAAGAATTAATGGTCCGAGTTGACACCAGACCGAAAATTCAACTTGCGGTCCTCGGATTGTCAGTCACGTGCTTGGCCACAGTGCCGCCCGAACACATTTTGCTACGCAGTTGGTTCGTAAATTGGATAGGCACGAGCATGACTCGAATTGAATGCTTCATCGCATCGTTCATCGTTTTGCATTTTCCACTTTTCTGCTCGTCTGGCCTGAATTCTACTCAATTACAATAACACTTAGGGAGACCAACATTGAAAGATGACATTGCAAATATCACCGTTGATATAAACATACATCAGACAGGCTCTCTGCTCTGACAAAGGGTAATTTCCTGAAACACAGCCGATATATTTAAGGCAACGCTATTGGTTATGTAGGTAAGGGCGTTTTAGAACTGTATTTTAATGCCGCAGATGGAATCGGCACGTGTGCCGGTGCCAGGTGGATTATTGTATCGCAGGATCACGAGAGATTGCGGATGCTTGGAAGGCCTTCATCCAGCAGTGGATTGACCACGGCGACTGCTGCTGCTGATGACGATGACTGTAATGGCAGTTGAGTCTAGATCTGACTGTTAATGTCCTAATATAAACATCCGCAATAGGAAATTCCGAGAGGTGTCACATTCGAGTTTCAGCTGTGGGAAGGCAATGGCACATGTCTGGAATCTCTCCGCAATCGACTTCTGGTCTTTAATTTAACTCTGAAAGATTGAGCCAAGTGGTCCAACACAGTTGTATTTATCACTTATGTGGCTAATTCAAATGCCGGATGTGGCTAATTCAGGTGATTGAACACAGAATATAAATGTCTCTCTACAACAGCACTCGATGTGTAATCTCGATAATCGTTCAATGCACGCGTTTGGAATTTTTAGGGGTGGCCCGAATGAAAATAAACAATATCACCCGAAACAAATTTAGGACCTTCTCCTGAGTGAACTGTTAGCAACCCAATGAGGCAGCGGAGAGAATTTTAATTACTTTGAAATAAGCATATTAAAGCTGTGTAAAATGCCCGTGTGCACACACGTGATTGCGAGTCGGGTGCTTTTTTGGAACACTATATCAGCTGTCTCCCTGGCTGCATTTTGTTCCAATACGATGCAATAAAATTGGGATTTATATCGCATTTAAATGCAACTGTCTGTATCTTAAGATGCTGTAGAGAAGAAAAAAAAACAGGGCATGTAGAGTACATCACGCAGATAAAAGGGAGGTGTCTATGTTATTTTTTTTTAAAGATGCGATTAGAATCATGCTGCCGTGGCCGGTTGCCTAAGGAGACGAAGTTGCGAAGCATTTAAAATACCTGTTTGAGAGAAAATGCCAACGAGTTAGGCTCTGACGAATATTGCGTGAGGTTAAAGAGGCCACGTTTCAAACAGCATAGCCACGTGTTCTCTGCTTTCAGCAATATGGCCTGAAGAAGTATTATTGAACACTTATCGAAATCCGGAGCAGTCTTTGTTACGATGCCATTTTCCTTGGGCAAATTTTACTGGGATTTTTTTGCGGCGAATTTTAAAAAAAATATAGCGCGATAAACTCCAGGTTGTTAAAATTTTACAATCTGAAGGTCGTTGTTTGAACCGTCCACTCAAGGCACACATTTTTACTACCGCACAGAGAGTCTCATCGAAAAGAGGGAACACCGCAATAATTTATGCTCGCTCAATTCAAATCCTATACTCATTTACGATTTAAGAAAAGATGATTTTTTTTATCAAAGGTGCTGCATTCTCTATCCTCAAATATATAAACAAAATTGTCACTTTATATCACCCACAAGTTATATGTATAACATTTTTTTGCAAACAAATACATTTGTGAACAAAGAGCAGTCGTAAAAAAAAAAAAAACCTCGCGTGCCGAGATGAAAAACGTGCCGTGCTTCACAAATGCCGACGTAAATTACACGCTTTGCGTTCGTCCGCCTGGTGTTGGGTAGCATTTCGTTCCCTCATAAAGAAATCGAACGAAGCATTACATAAGGATGCACATTATTTCTCTCTCTCTCTCTCTCCGGCCAGTCGAATTTTGACGGGCGAGAAATCCCGCTGGTTTCTGCCTGCCTTTTGTCCCCCTCCGCCCCCCCTCCACACCTGCACTTCTCAGCATCGTTTTGCGGTAACCAAGCCGGGCGCCGACGGCATACGTGCAGGTTTTCCGGGTGCCGACGCGAGCGAGACTCACCGTAAATTTTGAAAGCGTAGTAAACTTTTAGCTCCCTCGGGGCCGTTTCACTAAAGGCGGAGAACATGTCCACGAAATCGCTGAAGGACATGTTTCCTTGGCCGTCTTCCGAGAACACCTCCAGTATTCTCTGCCGGAAAGGGTTTTCCTGAGCGCAGTGGTGCCAACCAGACAAACAGAGCAATTGGCGCGTATCAATTTCACTTTTACACCAACGGCATTGAACTGTGCTGTGACCGTCAAGATACAAAGGTGCATTGAAAAATGTTGATACTCCTACTGATACTCCTACTGATACTCCTACTGATACTCCTACTGATACTCCTACTGATACTCCTACTGATACTCCTACTGATACGCCTGCTGTTGTGGAGTGACTCATGCTGCCAGCTATGGCTGCAAAGTTTGGTCGTACATGTTATGTATATCGTTTATTGTTACATTTGAATCACAGTTCCTATGATCACTGTTACATTGTTTTTATAGATTTATCTTGGTAATTTAGAAAACGTTTTGGTTTTGCCATATTTGTTTGTTGTAGTACAGAGTTAGACTGATAACTTTAATCTAAATTGTCTTATGGTTATTATTGTTTGACTTGCATCCCACTGGGATTTTTGCACACAGCGTTGATATACGGTGCTTTTTCTGGAAGACTTTGCTGTTTTTTCCTGAAATTTTCTGTTGCGTGTAGTCACTTTAAGATGTTCCTTGTTCATGTTTTTGTTTGTTGCGGTTGCACCCGAGCCAAGAGCCGCATAGCTCACAGGGCTATACCTAATAAATGAAAATGAAACTGAAAAACTTAAACGGGAACAGTCCGTGAACGCCTCTGCGGGAATGATTTATTCCACACTAATATTCGTCTTACCTAATTTTGTCCTCCTCATCATCATCATCATCATATTTTTTTGGACAGATATAAAACTGTTCTTAGGACTATAAGGATATAGGAGTACAATAATATGGGATTGTTTTTAGAAAAGGCATACGCAGTACTCGAGTGCAAGTGCATTATGCCGGTAATCGCTGCTCCAGTCCAGCCAAGCAGCGTTCCGGGAAATATCGAATGAGAAGTTAAGCACTGGCTACAGCATCTAAAATACAAAGATAAAGATCTCTCGTATGGCCTTAACAGACTGCTGGGGGAAGTGCTGTTAGCGAGCACCTGTGAAGGCCGTCACGGCACACGAGGGGGTGGGTGGCCAGCATCATGGACACACACACACGCACACACAGATGCTCACGACAACAAGTCAGGCCACAGCTCTGAAACGTCTGGACTACAGCAAGGGGGTTTTAGTCATCATCCATAGGGCTCTGTCATTAATTCGTGTGAGTGTGATGTCTTGGCGTTAGGGGTCACAAGGAATCTATTCGTCGATCAATCTAAATTTTTAAGTTTAACACGTAGCAGGCTTTAGCGACCAATATAATCCATAATAGAGGTTTTGGGTTAGATCGCGAAAATATATAAATGTGTCGTTAAACCCGCCACCACCTGACACAGCCAACTAGTAAGGGTTGTCACGTAAACAAAACGTGTCAATTCGTCACCATAGTACAGCACACTGGTGTGTTGGAGAGCCAAGCCACAACATTTACAATCTGAGTGCGACGTTTTGCCAGTAATTAAAACTTACTAGCTGGCTTTGGCTATGTCGGGTGGTGGCAGGTTTAACCACACATTTATATATTTATGCGATGTAATCCAAAAAAACCCCCTCTATTATGGATACATTTTTAACCTCACAGTTTACGCGTTAAATTGGTTATGTGTAAGAATCAACGTGTTTCTAGTCGTGCATGTGGCATGCAATGTGATAATGCGACTCCTTCAGACGTTGACGGCCGCTAAATTGACGACTGTGAAGAAGAAAAATTATCGATTATTTATTGGCATCGTGAAACCGAATTGTGGAAATTCTAATGGTGCGGAGTTGTGCGTGGGTTATGTCGCCCACGAACTGTCCAAATTGTTGAGAGATCGGCCACATTGTGGAGATTCTGGGTGCTAAAGGAACGGTCTCCGTGAGTGCTGCAACCAAGAGCGAAGATGCAAGACCAGATGGTGGGATACGGTCAGGGCAGATCTTGGAGGTCGCGTGTCAACTATCAAGCAGCTGCGGGATCTGGCAGGGGATAACAAGTGTGGGCGAAAAATGCGGTGGCGTCAACAGCGTTGGCCATAATGACATTCAATGCCACTCTAGAGTCACCTACATTGTCACTAATACCACCCCACAGCCACATACATAATGGAGATGTTCATCTACACAGTGAACATATTGGGCACATGGTGGATGCTTTGGACACTAATGCTGCCCTCAATACACATGCATTGCAAATATGTAACCAGTAATGTCACCATTTGAACCAGTAACATGATGGAGATGTTAGGGGCACCGCGGTAGTGAGATGTTAACTCCTTCGCCTGGTATACAGGGGTCGTGGGCTCGATCCCGACCATGACGCCTGTATATTTGGAGTTTGCATGTCTCTCTCCCCGTGGTCGCATAGATTTTTGTCCGTGTCCTCCGGTTTTCCCCTCCACCTTAATAAACATGCGTTTAGAGTATTTGGCTGCTATAAACTTTCACATGATAAGCCACTTCGATGAACTATCACTTGTGGCCAGGTCGCTTCTGAAAAAGAGCTACATAGCTCAGTCGGCCTTACCTGGTAAAATAAAACCTAGTTTACTCCTGCCACCCTCGAGTCATCTACACAGTTGAAATGTTCATCACTAATGCCACCCTAGGAACACCTACGTCATGGAGATGTTCGTCAAGAATGCCACCCCACAGTCGCCGACGTCGTTCAGATATTGGGGGTAGAATTGTCGAGATGTTCGTCACCCCACGCGGCCCCTGGTGCTGCACTGGTCACGGAGCGACACTCCAGCCGTGATGCAGGAGCGTTTGTACCTTCAGCTCGGGCATGGTTCCAATCAGCTGGGAGGGGATGGTGATGTCGCAATAGCCGGAAGAATCCTTCGAGACGAGGTGCGGGACCAGCTCCATGAATCTGCCGTGAAGCCTGCGGTGGCGAGAAGACAACGGAAACATCTCGGGTTTTTTTTTGCTTCATCGCCACCCACACTGCAACAGGGTAGTTGTTCTTCGATTTGTATAAAAGCACCACTGGGATGTGATCTGGCTGTAAAGGTCCCATACACGATTGAAAGATAATTTGAGCTATAAACGTCTTTTTTTTTAGAGCTCATCCTGTCCGTGTTGAAAATGTGTGCGGCAGAGGTGCTTTTAACACCAGCTGTTAGTTACGGTACTAATCACAGGAACGCAATGGAAATTATGCAATATAGTTGGTGTATAAACTAGAAATCACCTTAAGGCATCGCCTTCAGGTCTCAAAAGAAATGATGACTCGTCCATCTTCAATATGGGCCTTTTTGGCAATTTAGCCTGCGTGTTTGATTTGGCAGCTTCCTCTGCAGCCATGCCAGCCCATTTCCGAGCCCCGGTACATGTTCAGTCAGCCTGAACAGCTTACTTATAGTTCAAGGCTTTACGGGCGACCATGAATCAAAGACTGCGACAGTGGCGCTTCTGTTCACGCTGGCAGGAAACCAAGAAAGGAATGCTCGTCCGCCCGCTCGTCAGCCAAGCCATGCGGCTGCTTACTGGAAGGACGTTGGGTCTCGATTGCTCGCCACCCTGCACACGGTCACCGCATCGCGCGCTGTCAGATGCACTTCTGCGGCCGTCTGGAACGCTCCTCCTTCCGATATGAGGAAGCCACTGGGACGGTGCACTTTTAAATCATCTAGATTGAAAAACTAATTTCTTTAGAACTGCTTGTTGTATGTAGTTTCTTGTCCTTCGCCCGGACCTCCGATTAGCACGGTTGGCAACGTACGGTACGATAGAAGTTCAACAAGCATACATACATCCCGCTGATAGCCTACTCTTACCTATGCCCGACTCGGCAAACCGCACTCAAAGGAGTGGACTATGGTTAAGTTAAGGGAAGTCAGTTGTGCGTGTTGCCTCTGGACGAAATGCGGTGTGCCACCTTCTCCTGTAAACCCAACGAAACGACGCCGGACAACCCGAAGTCAAAGGGTAATATTTAAAACAAATGTGCGTGTAAATCACGCTTGCTGTACACAGGGCCCAAAGTTCCAAAATGCCACGTGGCCAGCAACAAACAGCACCGTTGAAGGCGTAAGAGGTGAGGGTCAATACATCTCTTGAGTTGAGACAGGTTATAAGAACGTGGGAAACAGAGACGATGGAAGGGAATTCCAAATTGAACGTGAATAAATGACACGAGTAAAATTGTAATAAATGTTGCCGTTTTAAATTACCCATAACTCACCTCCGTGCCCAAAAAACACCCCCAAAGTATTAATTTACCGTCCCTTTCGTTTCTGACTTCCTGTTTTAATCTTCCGATCGTTGATCGCACCCCGTACAGCCGCGGTGAATATGAATTAGGCAGAAAACTACATCATGGAACATCATCAACCGCTTGCCCACGGCCTTTCGGCACATGCGAATTATAACCGCACAAACGTGTGTTTCTCCCCCCCCCCCCACCGCGATTATTAAATAAGAAAGCATTTCGATGTCATACATGGGGAGATGAATTGATCCGTTGGCAATAACATTCTGTCGGCTAAGTAAGCCTTCTGTTCCGGGCACGTTGCTTTTCTGTTTTGGGCAAAAAAAATCAATTTCTATTATGTGGACAAGGTAATGGAAAATGCCCTTCCTAGGATATAAATACTGCGGAAGTGAGCACCAATAGCACCACTAGTATAAACAATAAAATGGAAAATCCTTAGCATGGCTTATTTATTTATATACTTTTCCCATTTATCCCATAACCCAAAAGTTCTTCTGAAACCCACAAACGACGACCCACGGTGGCAATGCCTCATGAGCAGTGCTCCCATAAATAACGCTGGATTTACTCGTCATACCTTCACAAGTGATAAGCACAATCTCCGTGACTTTCCTTTACGGCCATTGCGACGCTGCCGCTTATTCTCTCGACTTCTCATACAAGAGCGTAATTAGCACACTGCCAGAGTTCTTTGATCTGAATTTGCACGAGCAAAGCAAAATGAGAGAGGTGCCATGCCACGGATGAACATCTCAGGTTAATATTTTTTAATAATGTGTTTGAAAACACAGTGTAACGTTTTTAGTATCTCTGGTGCTCAAAGCAAACTGAGCTTGGAAATGCAGTTTTAATATGGCTCGTAAAAGAGCAGCCTTGTAAAATTACTCTTTGGTTTTTTCGGTAAAGCCACTTACGTATTTATACGTGACTTTATCGAAAAAACCAAAGAGTAATTCCTGCAGTCACGAAAGCTTCGAACCAAGTCTTGAGCCTTGTAAAATCCCATCCAAGAGTAAAATGAGCCGCACATTTTTAAAATATATATTTTATAATGCATATCCATTGCTCAGCAAATCCTTTTCGATCGCAGGGGAGAGATATCACTCAACACAGCCATAATTGAGAAATAATGGGATTTTAAATGGGGGTATTTGTAATGGCCTTGGATAAGGCTGACGTTATATAACAGGATAATAAGAGGCCAGCCGTCACGATTCTGATTCTGGGCCCACTGTGTGCGTCTGTAGATCCATTACCCGTGTGTGAGCATGCTTGCATTGCGTAGATGCACGTGTGTATGCGTTTCATGGAGATCCGCGTTCGCATGTGTGTGTGCGCGCGCGGTGCCGGATGGGCAACTCTGTCGTGGACAGTGCTGTGGGGGGAGGGCCAATTCCGATTGGCCCCTCCCCTCATGGCGTCTGTGACCACCACAGTGGCTAAACAGGGGCTCTGGACGGGTGCGAGGGGCTGGTAACCCCTCCACCTTAAAAAAAATACCACGAAACCACGAATTAAAAATGTAACTAATAAGTTTGTGCCGGAGGCCCCGGGGGGACAGGCGTCTATGACGTCTCCTGGCCAAACCCCAATTGGCGGAGCAAGGAGATTGAATCTCTACCCTCGGGGCTCCTCCAGAAACAACGAAAAGCCACTTCGTGTGGCCACGTGGAATGTTCGAACGCTCACTGCGGAGGAGAGGCTGCCACTCCTCTGTCTGGAGCTGGACCGGTACCGCCTGGATCTCTGTGGCATTCAGGAGGTCTGGTAGACCGGTTCTGGCTCCTGCCACCATGAGGGGTGGACAGTCCTCTACTCGGGGCAGCAGACTGCCAAACAACAGGGTGTGGTTCTTCTTTTGAACAAAATAATGAAGGGGGCGTGGAATCGTGGTGATGAGGTGTGGGAAGCTGTAAGCCCCAGGCTACTTTGGGCTCACTTTCCCATCAACCGGAGGCGAGGAGTGGTGGTCGTGGTTACTTATGCCCCCACCAAAGACGAACATCCGTGGAGGGATGCAGGCAAAGCCGATGAGTCAGATGCCTTCTATGACCTCCTGTAACAGGTGCTGGCTAAAGTGGCCCCTCGGGATAGAGTCATCTTGTTGGGTGACTTCAATGCCCGAGTTGGTCATGATGCTGGCACCTGGTCTGGAGTGATTGGAGGGCATGGGCCAGATCAGCTCATTAACAACGGTAGGAGGCTGCTAGATTTTTGTGCAGCCCATGGGCTTGTAATTACCAACATGCTGTTCCGGCATCGGCGCATCCACACAACATCATGGATACATGCCGGGTCCAAGCAAGAACATCTGCTGGACTACATAGTGATGGACCAGTGGATGCGAGCCCATGTCCTTGACACCAGGACTTACCGTGGAGCTGATCTGCCCTCTGACCATCGACTAGTCATCTGTAAGATGCGCCTGCCATTCTTCCACTCCGGTGGTGGGTGTACACCCAGGATCCCATTCTAACCTAAAGTGGCCTGGTCTCAGTTATCTGATAAAAGTTGCAAGCGAGAATTTCATCATCGCTTGCTGTTGGGGTTGGCATCGTCCCCCACTCCTCCTGATGTTGAGAGTAAATGTGCGAGGTTTAGGACTGTGACTCATGCAGCTGCAATGGCTGCTTTGGGTACGTGGTCCAGACCTCCCCAGAGACCCTGGCTGACAGAGGAGGTGTTCAGGATAGTTGAGAAAAAGCGACAGGCCCACTGTCATCGGCTACAGAATCCCACGTCAGAGAATGAGGAGGCTTACCGCAGCCTTCGCTCGGAGGTTCGGAGAGCCGTGAGGCGCTGCAAGGATGGGTGGTGGTTGCGGATTGCTGAAGAGATGGAGTCTGCCTCAGTGGCCTGCGATCACAAATCTCTATTTAACTCCATCAAATATTAACCTGCAGCGCCACACCTATTACCATCATTAGAGGAAAAATGGTGATCCAATCTCCGACCCCCAGGAACAGGTTTGCAGATTTGTTGAGCATTTCTGTGAGATCCTGGGGGAGGGGAAATCCCTCAGCCAGGAAAACATCGTGGCACAAAGTGGGGATGACTCTGCTGAGGCTGCGGTGCCTCAAATATTGGAAGAAGTCACCCCCTGTGAGTGGCTGGCTGAGGTGCCATCTGTTGAGGAAGTATTGAAGGCGATCCGGAGTTTGAGACCAGGAAAGGCAGCGGGCAGAGATGATCTCCCAAGCGAAATGCTGAGGGAGGGTGGCGTTTGTGCACAGACTGCCCTATATGACATCATAACAACAGTCTGGACCACTGGACGGGTTCCGCAGGATTGGAATGATGCCCTGGTGGTCCCCCTCTTTAAGAAGGGGGACCGCACAGACTGTAACAACTACAGGGGTATCTCACTCCTCAGTGTGCCGGGAAAGGTCCTGGCAAGGAATATTCAACATCGCCTTGCCAGACACGCTTGCGGAGCCCCAATGCGGTCTCAGGAAAGGGCGGTCCTGCACAGATGCCATATTTTCTGTCCGTCTGCTACAGCAGAGGTGTAGGGAATTCGAGCAAGACCTACATTTCTGCTTCATTAGCCTGGTCAAGGCCTATGATACCATCAGTAGGCCTGGGCTCTGGGTTGTTCTTCGTGCTTTTGGAGTCCCTGACCCTCTGCTCACGATCATTAAGGACCTTCATGATGGTGAGCGGGCCCG